CCTGAATCTCCTCCCTGATGATAATATACTTGAGTTCCAGTAGCATTTTTTTGCAGAGCCTTTCCTTCCTGCCTCTGTGATTTTCCCCTCAGCTTCTGCAAGCCATTGCAGCTGGGAAGAGGCAAACAGTGGCGAATTTAAAGCCTTTGTCAGCAGCTTCCCCCAGATGGTAATCAGCTGAGAGAAACGAAGCTGCTTTGTTACGTAAAGAGCTCTTTATTGCCTGTTGCACCTGGGTAGAGAGTGCCATGGCAGTGAGATGGCACTGCAAATCCAGTGTCCTCAGGTATCAGGATGGAGAAAACTGCCTCAGCAGCCTCTGCTCGGACCTGTTTCACCTGCCTCTCTTCTGGGCAGCCTCAGGGAGAAGCTGCCTGGATCACTAGCATTGGAAGCAGGGTGGAACTTGCCTGTAAATTTGACCTCTGATTAGCAATCCACAGCATTGATTTCTACTAAAAGCTCCTTTTTGTAGTTGCACAGCCCATCTCAGTTCAGTGCCTTTTGTTTTGATGAGAGAGCCTTGAATTCACTTGATGATTCTGCTTTCAGACAGGGTCTCTTCAGCAGTAAGTTTCGTCCTTTTAGTAATATATCTTTTCTGGATTTCCCCAGGTTGCTGCTTGCCTGCACTTCTACACAAGCCAAGAGAAAACATATCGAGAGAGAGAGATTTTCAGTCACGCTAAAGCTAAAATGGTTTTTCGGTGTTCTTGAGGCTGTGAACACCATATCAGATTCTTATGTATCCATATTCTTCTGTAAAAAACACAATATCTTTTGATTTCAGCCCCTGCATTTCCAGAGTACTCAATCTCCAAGGCTTCCAATAACAAGGACAGAAGATAAAGAAGTTGGCGCATATCTGTTTATGAAAACAAACAGCAGCAAATATTCTCAGGCATTAAAACACACACATTCTCTGCTTCAAATCCTCAAAAGGACACTTGAAATAGCTTAAATGTTTTCTTCTTTGATGGTAGAAGAAGAATAGTGGGAAAAGAAAGGGTTTTGCTCTCCTAAGGGTAATTACAAGCCACGAACATGAGTTCCCAGCTGTTTTCTGTTTGTTTAGTGATTTTATTTTCAAAGAGCCTGAAGTGCACTTGGCTCCGCGCGTGCATCGTCTTTGGCTGCTCGGCCTCTTATCGCCTCGCGGATCCCGCGTGTCACCGCGCTGACATCGGCTCTGCGGCTATGCCGGGCGCTGGACTCGGGCCACCGTGCCAGAAATAGCTTCGTGTCCCTGCTGCGAGCGTGGGGACAGAGCGGCGCTGCCACGGGACTGCGCAGGGACCAGCAGAGGGAGCAGCAAAGCGGGCGACCGAGAGAGAAGTTTCACTATTATTTCTCTGTATATGAAATACTAAATAAATCCTAAAATAAATAAATAAATAAATGCCAGTGTGGGTGGCAGCAGTAACAGGGTATCTAGAAGACAGGGACACAGAGACAGATCTAAGATCCCACTCCATCCATCTGCTGGGCAAGCACAGGGGAAAAAAAGTAGATATAGCCTCCAATCTCATTGCTCCAAAGCAGAATGTCAGCTTGGACACATCAGGACTATTAGGAAATGCAACCAAATTAAGCTAAGAAAGCTGCTGCAAAAGCAGAGAGCTGTTTGGTCAGATGCCATCCCATAAGGGGCTGACAGCAGTGTTGCTGCTAGGGCAGGCACTGGCACGGGGAGTACACATCCATCAAGGAGAAAACTCATCTGCCAGCTGGTCCTCTCTGCAGCAAGGAGGACTGTTACAGTGTGGAAGGTCCCCAAACCGCTATAGCTACGTGCACAACCTGAAGAACTGCCCCATTTCCACACGCACAGTGCATGCGCCTGGTCACCAGCATCAACAAGAGAAGCCATAGGCTTCCCTTCGGCTTGCACCAGTCCTAGGGACTCCCCAGCACCAGGGACATTCAGAGCACATCGCTTTGGCTGCCTGAATTCCAGCTCTGGCACCGGCCCTGGGACGGCCCCGCAGTGCAGCGGCAGCAGGGAGGCTGTGCAGAGCCAGAGAGCTCAACTCCCCCTGCCCTGGCGCTCGGGTGGACTCGCTGTGATCAATAACCTTGTCCTCTCCGTCCGCTGTGCACAGCGCATCGTGCGTCCTCCTCATCTCTTGGTAACAGATGACTTGGCATTTCTGAGTTGTGTCAATGGATGCAAAAGCAGATTTACTGCCGGTATCCTAATTATACCAAAGCACCTTTGTAATCTAATCTTTTAACGTTAAAGCTTTCTTAGCAGTTAATTATTCAATTTACAAATAGAGTCCATGGAGGAAAACTAACATAAAAATAATCGTATTTATTAGCTTGGGCATTTGGTAAGTAACTACCTGGACAAAATATGCTTCAAGGCCATTGCACATTTCTTAATTCTTTTCTCTCGTATGCAGTTAATACTCTGTTAAAACTGTTGATTTAAACACCTTCATTTTGCTGTTGTTTTTAATGACAGTCCTGCTTTAGGGGGCTTGGGAAGGGTGGCAAGGGCTTGGGTGCTGGCAGATTTCCAATTGCCAACTTAAACCCTGCCCTGGGTAGCTGCCTGTTTGCAACAGATCTATTTGCTTTTGGAACAGCTGGGAAACTGCAGCGGATTTTAGGTATCCATGAGCGTATTCAGGTATTTCACTGCATCAAATAATGTGTACCTTGTGCTCTGGGCAACACACTATAATTAGTTTGTTGAAGCTGTTTGTCTCTGAAGATCTATAAATACGCATACATAAAACTATATGGGAATAAGAAGTCACATGCTTAAAGCAAATATATTCTAATGCAGAGGAGCTTTATACCCAGAGCACATTTGGATACACACTCAAATGTGATCCCATTGCTGATCTTTCTTTCATTTCACATTGGGCTGACCAGAAATACTTTCTTCCACATAAACACACTAAAATATATGGAGAGTTTCCCACTGAAATCAAGGGCATTCACCATTCAGTGACAACCAGTCTCCACCTGGGCTGTGTTTATTACTTCACTCTCTCTCTGAGAAGGCCAAGAAAGAAAATAAAAAATAAACACCTCAGGCAGACGTATCAGTTCCTCTTATCAAACACTTTCCCCTGTAATTCACTGACTTCATCTGAGTACCTCCAGTCAAAAGCTTCATTTAACAAAAGCTTCATTTAACAAGCTAACCTTTTTCCCAACCAAGCCTTTCAACCTTTGCAAGTAACTTTTTCCATGATCAATTCTCCCCATTTCTTGCCTTCAGTTTAAGAGGAAAGACAAAAAGCCGTGTTTACTTCTGGAGTGCTCATTGCTCTAATGGGTTCCTACTACCTGCAGCTGTGTTAACCACTTGCTTATGTGGCTCTCCTCGAAAGCTCAAGGAAGGAGGATGGATAAGAGGTTACCACCTGGGTAAGCACTAAAGTGTCTGGATATTTCTCCACTTTGCTGTAGCTGAACTCAAGACAGTCCATACCCATCTCCAGACCATCTTAATTTCTTCTGCTGATTGTGGTCTGATTCTTTGCCTTCTCTTTTAGCCCTGATAGAAGGGTTCAGGTGAGGACGTGAATTTGTTTTTAATTAAATGGAAATCAGGATGAGAAAAAAAAACCCTTCAGAAGTCACAGCCTCCCAGTACCAAAGATGCTCTTTTGGTTTCCAAGCCAAGCAAATAATCCTGCCCAGTATAACCAATGCCTCTGTTGATCTCCTGTTGCCAGTGCGTGCAGCTGGGAGAGGACCAGCAAGTCACAGCCAGGAACCTGCAGGCACGAGCGGGAAGGGAGCACTTCCCACCCGTGGGAGCCTAGTGAAGAGCACACACGTGTAGCACGGCGAGGCAGCCGTGTCCCGTGCTGCGGTGCACAGCGGGGTTAGCAGAGCTCCGGTCCCCTCGCTCCTCCGCACCAGGAGCACAGGGCAGCAGTGCTGCCAGCCTGCTGGTTACTGCGTGATCCTGCCCGGATCGGGCCCTGTCGCCTGGGTCCTGCCCGGTCCCTGCGTGTCCCTGCCCGGTGCCTCCGGGCGGAGCTGTCCCTTCAGCACCGCGGCCGGGCACGGGGCCCGGG